AACCGGCCTCAATTAAGTTGTAGAAGACTAGGTCTTGAAATTGGAGTGTCCTCATTTGTTGTGTGGCGGACACTTAAAGAACAAGGTTTACATCCTTATCACATCCAAAAAGTCCAGGCCTTATATCCAGGTGATGAAGAAAAGAGAGTGGATGAATGGATGATTCAAAAATGTGGTGATATTCCTGATTTTCTAAAAATATTATTGTATACTGACGAGGCTTCATTCACTCGTGATGGCGTGTTCAATATGCACAATACGCATATTTGGAGTGATGAAAATCCTCACGCCATTAGGGAAACTGGGCATCAAAGAAAATTTTCAATAAATGTTTGGGCTGGCATAATAGATCAGTATTTAATCGGGCCTTATGTTCTCCCGAACAGAATAAATGGGCCAGGATATCTCCACTTTTTAGAAGATATTTTGCCAGTACTCCTAGAAGAGATACCGTTACAATTAAGGCAACGGATGTGGTACCTACTAGATGGCGCTCCTCCTCACTTTGATTTAAACGTACGGCAGTTTTTGAACATTAGATTTCCTCAAAAGTGGATAGGCAGAAATGGACCTACTAAGTGGCCTCCGAGATCTCCGGACTTAAATCCATGCGATTTCTTTTTGTGGGGTCACATGAAACAACTGGTTTATAATGAACCTATTAATAGTGTTGAACAATTAACCAATAAAGTTAATGCGGTAGCCGAGGAACTACGACAAAATCCAAGACTAATTTCTAATGTTCAAAGTTCTTTGGAAAGACGATTGCAAGTGTGCGTAAATAATAATGGACGGCATTTTAAACAATTACTGTAATAAACTTTATTTTGAATTAATTGGTTTTGCTACGGCAACAGTGCAATTTCTATGGGTAAGTTCAATTTCGATTTATTTTACTTCTTTAAATATGGAAACTAGTAGGTCGGAAAAGGGGACTCTTCCCCAATATTTAAATTTTAGAATTTGAAGTTAAAATTGGTGCCAATCGTTTTTGGTCATTACATACTATTCCCCATTTTAATATGTACGTGTATTTCAATAACACCCTGTATTATTGAGATGAGAATATCTTGGCAGATTGTTGGGACATAAAATCTAAATAAAATAATAAGTTTTGCTTAAATTAATTACTGTTATTAGAAGTAGTAGTAGCAGTGGTAAACTTTTATATAAAAAATTCAGTCAGTTGATAAAAGTTGAAAAAATTAATTCAAGTTAAAAATTATGAAGCAAAAACAATATTGAACTTCCAAACTATTGTTAAACTTTGTTCAATTTTTAAGGAACTTTTTATAGTTTTTCTTAGATTCTAAGAAAGAATTCGTTAATTAAAATATACAGTTCATCGCGAGAGATTACCGAAATGAATATTTTAACTACAAGTCTTAAATAACACAAACTTAGGTGAATAAAAAAATCAATTAGTTCCAAAGTATGGATAGTTTTAATTATGAAATTTTAAAAAACGTTCTTGAATCAAGAAGAAATATCTAACTGAATAAATACGCTTCTACAAATACAAAATAAAAAATAATAGGAGAATTTTAAATTTAATAAACCAACAATGGGTTTCTTTCCTCTATTTTATTCATATTAATTGTACATATAAATAGACCAAAGTTATAGAAACATAAAAAAAATTAAAACAAATATATCTCTCTTTAATTGTACAATCTTTTCCTTTTTAATTTAGCCGTATCAAAAGTTTCAAACTTAAATTACTTACAGCAGACAAGCCCACGTGTTTATTAAACTATCTCTATACCTATCGTCCTCGCGTATCAGATACAGTCGTGAAAAAGTTTCAGGATAAACTTCTCCCAAGCAAGAAATCCCAATCTTCCGCAAACTCAGATCCTCGCTTCTTCATAGAAAGTCGAAATAAAAGATAGTTCGTGACAATTTGCTAATACTTCGAATTTAGACGGATAAAACTTGAACTAAACATCTTGTTTTGTGTAAGCACAAACAGAAAGTTTTCCGGATTGCGAACAATACTGTACCGAACTTTAATCAGACGAACGGAGCAAACAGAAAGTTATGTGCTGCTATACTCTTAAGTAACCCCAATATTACCGTTTAAGTTTAAGCGGAGTTTTGTTGAATTATTGGAAATAGATAAGTCATTATTGGCACCTAAGAAAACAAAATGATATTCCAAACTTTATGTTTTGCGGAGTTCGTTTAAATGTATTATTTTAGTTGGTCGCGGATTTATTACTCTACATATTTTTACTATTACCTTAGGTACAGCTCTTTTTTTTATGTTCTACCTCATCACACTAAACCGTTTGAAGCCTGGCGACACTCCGAGCAAATATTACTAGACTCCATAACAGTCACAAAATGTTTAAAATAATTCTTTCACAAGAATTTTGAAGCAAAACAATACATAAAATGAGTAGTATCGACAATTTTTACAGTTCTACACCATATCTATCAAAATTATGAAATTTTTAATTAGTAACGTTGACAATCAGTCCATAATTTTTTTTACTCAAATACTATGAGAGATGCATGTTGTTTGCAGAAAACAAAAAATGCTTTATTTATTTTCAAGTTGTCCAGCCACAACTGACGTTGGACAATGTCTCTCGGAAACCTATAATTAGGTATTTTTATATCAAGAAATAAATAAAACCCTAGCACAGTTATTACGCCCATGGATATCTACATTATTTACATTTTATGAGATTGATTTTGACACAACCTACCTGTGAAAAGAGCGAACATTGGTTTTAGTCCAAAATGTTCGAAGAACTATGCATATAAATAAATATTCCACCAAAATAAAATACCGAACAACACTTTTAAAAACGTACACAAACAGGATTGCCAAATGTTCAGTTAAATTATAGTATTTAATGGTTAAACCGATGTATCCTAGTGAAAAAAATTTAAAAACATCTTATTTAAACACCGATTCAATGCAGAAAAAAATTAAATGAGAAATTTTATGAATATGAATAAGTAACTTAAACCTTGAAACATTGGGAACTATTAATTATTATCCTTATACGTTTAACCGAAACAGACACTGTGGCAATCTCTGCTGGTACCATCTTTTGTTGCGCATGCGAATATGGACCTTATTATCATATGACAGTTATTTATGTAAACAAGGCGTATCTATCCCAAATACACGATAGAATCAAAACCAGTAACACGTAAGTAGTTTGTGATTATTATATAAATGTATCATTTAATATTCAACTATGTCAAAACGTTACTAAAAACATTATGTATGGGTTTTTACTGTCTTGACACTTTTTTTAAAATACATACATATTATTTCCTTTATTTTTTATATTTTGTACTTACGAGGTATTGCTTCTAGGTTATCGATTTATGGAAATATTTTTATTTTTGTTTTAACTGACTTATTAATTTTTAAAATACTTTAATAACAACCCTAAAACAATGTAAATGACTCATTTCATACAACTAACATTTAAGTTGCCATAAAGATTACTAAAAAGTCATTTACATTCAATTTCCTGTTTTACCAGATCAAGTAGGATACCAGAGTTGTTACAATAAATTCATATTTCACAGGTCACTAAATAATGCACCACAATAATCTCACCACCCCATAATATGGAACTTAACTATACATTTATCGTATTTTTGCTAGTATAAATTCAGAGTTATATGTCTCCTTAAACGTTTTATAACCTCGATTTTTTTTTGTTTTAGCAGCAGTAAATTTTCATTCATTCTGATGAAAGATTTTCCGATAAAATTCTAATAAAGATATAAAAGCGAGCTTGTTTATTTGAACACTGGCGTTCCATAACGTTTTAAAGCTGAATTAGATTATTTTTTTATTAAAAATGCTGTGTTTATTATACATAAGCTGAAATTTAATAATAAACTTTTCAGTTAATAAGCCAAAAAATATTTGTAAATTATATAATGAATATTTTTAAAAATCAATGTTAGCTGCCAGTTCTCTTATATTACTATTCTTCTGAAATTCATAAAAAATAAAGATTTTTAGGAATATTTTTAAAGATGACGTCTACACTTGGCATGATATGTGCTATTTTCGTAATAAAATATTTATTATAATAAATTAAAAGAAGAAAATCTAAGCGCTGTGTCACAAAATGATACAAGCAATCGCTGCAAATCTCTCTCCACTTTTATTTTAAGTTCAGTCCATGTTTTCGCCTCGTAATATACTGCGGTGTCATCAGCATACCCTATAATTTCGCCTGTAGTATTAAGTTTAAATAAATCATTTATATACAGATTAAAAAGTATGGGTCCTAAAATAGTACCCTGGGGAACACCACATTTTATGTACTTCGCCTCGCTAAGATTATTTCCTATTTTAACCACTTGTTTTCTATTCTGAAGATAGCTCTCGAATAATTTTAAACAATTACCTCTAAAAACTTATGGGGGTTTCATCAAGAAAGTGAATAAAACCAAACAGTCACCATTTCCGTTATGGTGACGCAATGACCCTCGATTTGGGGTTCTGCCCATCAAAACCACCCCATGGCTACGTCACTGCTTGTTTGGTTATCAAGGTAAAACTTTTGAAGTGTCTTTGAGTCAAAAATATCTCCATCTGCTTTTCAAATCATTGAACAATTGGTTTAATAATTTTTATTTTAAAAATATAACTATGAATAAAATTTTGACTACCATTGTTAGTCTGGATTTAAATGAAGGTTCAGTCACCGATGTATTTCCCCGTTGTTTAATAAATCTGATGTCAGTTTACTAGTTGGACTTGTTCATAAAATGTTTATTATATGTATAACAGTAGAAAAATTTTCATAACAATAAAAAACTGTTCCAGTTGCTTCTATTGTATAATTGTAAACGTGAAGACGTCGTCGTAGCAAAGTGTGTGATTAATTTTTACTGGTTATATATTAAAACATAGTAATCTATTAATGCCGCATGATCAGGAGATATACAAGATGGTATGTGCGTTCTTAATTTTATACAATAATTCCTAAATGTAGTAGTTACTTTAATAAACAATGAGCTGTGAATTTTGTGACACTGCGATAAGCCGAACAAAACCCGATATTTCATATGCTGGTTTTTGTGGACAAAAAGTATTTCCTACCAGTTGTGTTGAAGTTCCTTCGGAAGTTGTCAAACATACTAAACCTTATGGTCTTCTATGGTATTGTCAGGAATGTTATCCTGCTGTTACTGATTTTTCGCACACTATAGATAAAAGAGGTAATAGATAATATGGAGAAACTATTCACTGAAGCTAAAGAAGAAATTTTTAAAATGACCAAAGAAAATATTAGCAATATACCTCCTTTTGATTTAAATTAGTCAACTTATTCGCAAGTGGCTCAAGCGACATGTCAATCGGTTGTAGTTATTAAACCTAAGGATACTATACAAAATAATATTCAAACTAAGGCTGATATTATGAGCAATATTAATCCCACTGAATTAAACATAAAAGTTTCAGAAGTTAAGAATACTAGAGATGGCGAAACACTTGTTGGGTGTAGTAATAATGAAGACGCATCTAAATTTAAAGATGCAGTTAACGCAAAATTAGCAGATGCTCACGATAGAAAAAAATTAAAAGTAGAAATCAGAAAATTGGATTAGTTGGAATGATTGAGAAGCATGAACCTGATGAACTTATTTCGTTACTTAAGTACCAAAATGATGTCATCCAGTCGTCCAGAGTTTGCAGCGTTGTAAAAATTTGGGTTACCAAGAAAAATGATAAGATGTATCAAGCAACTCTAGAAATTAATGCCGAAACGTATGTGAAAGCAATGTCTCTTTAAAGTATTTTTGTTGGCTACGATGTACTCGTATGTTCAGTGTTTGATGCTATAGATACCACATTGTTATAAGTGCAGCGGCTTCGTTCATAAAAAATATTGCTTGTCCTAATTGTTCTCGACCACATGAAATTAAAGATTGTCCCATTGAGTCTGAAATAAAATTTTATGACTGTATTAACGCCAAAACTTCTGATGTCAAATATTTTGCTTAGGATCATTCAAAATGCCCTGTTTATCAGAGAAAAAAACTTGAATATTATAAGAACTCTTTAATGTCTTTAATGTCAGTGTACTTTACCAGAATGTTAGAGGATTAAACACCAAACTTGTAAAACTGTTCCATAATTCCGTCGAATGTGACCATGACCTATTAGCACTGTCAGAAACTTGCTTAAGTTCTTCTATGTAAGACAGAAATTTTAATATTACCAATATTACTAAAGGGGGAGGTGTGTTAATTGCATTAAAGAAAGAAAACAATGCATTAAGACTAGATCTTTCTGAACTGACTACTTCTACTCCTTCTATTAACGTACTTGGTTTAAAAATTTCAGTCTCGAATAGCAATATGTATGTTATATTACTTTATATTCCTCCCTTTACTAGTAATAATATATACGATGTCTTTTATGATGTTTTATGCCATTACGAGTGGTGCAATAATACTGTTAATATTAGGAGATTTTAATATACCACATTATCATTCTAATATTAAGGACATTACTTTAAAAAAATGCTGGTATAGTTGCACTTAATAATGCAACCAAATTATTAGCTTTAAGACAATACAATAATACTCCTAGTTTTAATAACCATTTACTCGATTTAACCCAACAAAACGTTCTTTTTGAAACCACGCCAGCTTCATTTCCCGTCTATCGCGAGACATCGCCGTAGAGCGAACATTAGCGCCCAATTGCCTCTCGATCTAGTCGTCACCTGACCTCAAAAAGTCGTTCTGACCAATCAACAAATTACTCGTGCTTACAAACCAAAATTACCAGAACTTGAATTCGTGAATACCAGAACTATTCACCACCGGCCGAGATACACATGATTCTCAAAAATAAATAATAACGAAGGGTGTTGTCTTCGTCAAGAATACCCTATTAAAACAAATCGATGCATCTGTTGCTGTCGAAATACGACACGCACAAACCGATAGATCACGTCAAGAATGTCATGAAACAGGTGAGTATTAATTTCGGAGTGACACAATTTCTAATAAACAAACGAACGAACCCAGAGCTGTAACGAACGCAGTAATATTTTCGAATGACAAGAAAAGCCCAATTTACTAAATGAATATTTGAAATTTCGCTAATAACTTGAGTTAATATTCAAAATAAAGAAGAAATTCACTATACAAGGTATGATGTATATTTAGCTACTAAACAACTACTGAAACAGGGTAATTAATTCAATAATAGCAGCAAAACCGTAAAATTTTAGGGACGATCAACTTAATGGACTAAAAGTGAAGCGAACTCACTGTAAAAGAACACAGGTATATAAAGAAATGAATAATGTAGTAAATAAACACCTTTATTTGGATAAAAACGTAAGCGTAGACTAAAATTACACAAGGGGTCATCAAAAAGTACTTGTTTTAATATAAAAAAATGGATCGTTACAAGTTGATTAATTGTTTGAATTAATAAAAAGAAACATTCGCTTATATGGCCATTAATAATCTCAAACAATGAACTGCCTTCGTCCGGTCCATATGTTTCGACTAAGTATCATAGATTCATCGCTATCGAATTTGAAATTCTTACATACATATATTTTATATAAATTGTCTGCAATAATGTACAATATGCAGTACAATAAACATTATATTTTATATGAAGCATCCATCAAGGTTTGAATTTTGAACAGAAAAAAAAACTCATATGCTCACATAACTAGTTTTAACACATTTACTATTTTAAGCATTAGGGTCACTGGTAAAAATATTTCGCTTTTAAACAAAACTCGGAAAATGTTTACAAAATAAGGCAACAGCCGCACGATATCTCCTCCAGGGGGTGGAACTCATCACAGCTCTAATCCCTAAACATTAATATTCATACGGTTGGATGAGGACGGATAAGCATCTACATTACTTAGAAATGTGTCCTCGTACCAACGCTGGCGCCCACATATAACTATGAATTCGCTAAGCTTCGTGATTAGTTGGATTTATATTCCGAATTTCGCCGCTACAGACACAACGCGACGCGATGGTCAGATGATATTTTTTAAATTGGATAGCTTTCGGTTTAAGGCAACAAGTTATATTTTCGGTTAGAGATAATATTTACTGTTTTTAGTAAAATTTTCGGAAACCAAGCAATTTAGGACATATGGTAATATGAAGATACACACCTTGTATTAGATTCATCCTATATATACATATTGTACTGTTTTTATTTAATTAAAGCCATGTCAAAACATATAATTCTTCAAGAAATAATTTTTTTTTTAGAACAGAACTTCTACAAATTAAAATTAAAAGAAATGATAATGAATATTTATAATATTTCCTTTTAATAAAAGCCATATTAAAACAATCAATCCAAAATTCGTGCAAATTAACAAGTAAATCAAATATTATTAACATACCTTATTATATATTATCTTTTACAACATCTTGTATATGTTATTTAAAAAAAAAACTTGTTAAATGTACAAGAAACAATTACCATGAACAAAATTTGTGCAAATAAACAAGTAAATCAAATATTATTAACATACCTTATTATATGGTATCCTTTATAACATCCTGTATATGATTTTTTTTGTAAAATCTTGTTAAAATTATTGTCAGTGATGACGCAGAGTGGAGTCTGATATCTTGATTCATGGGGATAGGAATTTGTCTCCATGGATACAAAAAAATGTTGTTGATTAGAGGAGTTCGACGACAGACATCTTGGAATTTTAGATAAAAAATTAAAGTACCTGAAAGAAAAATTAATTAAAACTAGTTAAAACCCGTCATATATCATTCTATTTAAGGTAAAAGTGTTACAAAATGAAGGTAATGTTATTTGATTATACATTTTAATTGTCAAAAACATCCTATTTGCGGAAATACATACCAATTAAATATATGCCCATGAAAATCAGAGATATGAGATTGATATCCTATTTCATGGTGGACCAGTGAAAAATTAGATGCAGTGTCCTGTGTTTTTGGACTGGAACATTCTACGAAGAAAACAGATTGTTGTGAAATAGACGATTTCCACTCAGCAAGTGTAAGTGTAAAACTATTTTAATTTAAATACATACCTAATAAAATAGTAGGAACAAAATTGGAACTGAATAACACAACCGTTATACAAAGCATGTATATAGTTCTTTGACATTTTGTAAAATATTCAAGACAGGGTACAAACCTTTTGGTGTAGTAATGAACACTGCAATCATTATGAATCGATTTCAGAGTTTAGTTTAAATACTGTAAAATAGAATTTAGGTTTATAGTTTTCTACCCAAGCAAAGTATTAATTTCTTTATTGCCTAATAGGTGGCGTTAGATACACCCATCGACTTATTGTAAATTTTATTATTGGAAAGAAAATTAGATTGTTTAAGAAACTTTGATCAAGGTTTTTCTGTCCTTCGTTCTATATATAAAAAAAAAATATACCCTAGTATTTTGGTTTGTGAAAAGATTATTTGTGTTCTCTGTTTGATACACAGGGCTATTTCCATAATTTTAATAAAGTATTATCATTGTAACATGTATTATTGTTAATATTTTAAATTGAATGATATATAAGGAGGCGCTATAGACAATCACAATACAGGTTACATAAAATATTAAAATTTATTTAAATATATAAAAATAGAACCTATTCCCTGAGAGCAGAGTCGAATCTACAGTTAAAGAAAATAATATATACAAGGAGTGATTAAAAAGGTAAGCATTAAAAATAAATATTATAACTACATAAATAAATATAATTTGGTATATAATTTCAACACGTTAGCTGCTAAAACAAAGAAAGCATACAAAGTAGAATTATATATCAATATATATGTTTCATGTTTCTATTAGAAAATAAGAGATTCATATTACATTCAAAGGATGCTGTCTCTTTGAACTAAAATAACATAATAGAAACCGCTGACCTGTCGAGAAGTTTCGAGAATTCCACCATCCGGCAGTTGAAGTTATTTGTTATCTCTGAACAAGTGTTTAACATTTTTTTTATTTTACTTTCAGTCTGATGTAAGCTTGCAATTAATAAAGTCATAAAAATATTGTACTTGTTGTTTAAATAAAAATATTTTTTTCTACGAACTCTTACAAAAAGACATCTTTCGCCACAGGATACTTTCAGCGAAAACTTGATTTCCGTCACTAGTGAGAAAAAATCCCATAACGTTTACTTTCGTCTCTAGTGACGAAAGTAAGTTGTTACATATTTTCATATATCAGTCGCCTCGTATAATATTTTGGCAGCTTATAATTATTAATAATGAAATAAAAAGATGCTCATTAAATTCTATATGCGTTTTTACCTAAACTTTAATAAATTAAAGATAAAATAAAAATTTATAAAAATAGTGCAAATTAAACCAATCTACATCTAGTTTCCTGGTTTTCATTTGTTTATTTGAAGTTTTATCACTTTTGAGAACTGTCAGTTGCAGTTCGTCCTAAATTTAACACATTTTCATGATGTCTGAGTCAGAAAGCGATTGTACTCCCCCAGAAATTATTTTTAAAGCTGAAGAAACCTCTTCAGATTTATTACCGGCCAAATCAAAAAAGAGATATGAAGAAATTTATATCAAATTTTTGGACTGGAGAGAAAA